CCCTTAGGCCAGTCCCGCTAGCTGGAACAACCACGTCTTGAGGGCGCGGCGGAAGGAAGGGAGATCAGGGATCACCCTGATCTCTGGGGGCAGTTCGTTCCAGAGGGTGGGAGCTCCCACAGAGAAGGCCCTCCCCCTTGGGGTCGCCAGCCGGCACTGTCTGGCTGACGGCACCCTGAGGAGACCCACTCTGTGAGAGTGTACAGGTCGGTGGGGGGCAGTCTGTGGCAGGAGGCGGTCTCGAAGGTAACCAGGTCCGATGCCATGGAGCGCTTTAAAGATAATAGTCAACACCTTGAAGCGCACCCGGAAGGCTACCGGCAGCCAATGCAGCTCGCGCAAAAGCGGCGTGACGTGGGAGCGACGAGTCCCTCCCAGCACCGCCCGCGCGGCCGCATTTTGAACCAGCTGGAGCCTCCGGGTGCTCCTCAAGGGAAGCCCCATGTAGAGAGCATTGCAGTAGTCCAGGCGGGAAGTCACAAGGGCATGAGTGACCGTGCGTAAGGCGTCCCGGTCCAGAAATGGCCGCAACTGGCGGATCAGGCGAACCTGATAAAACGCTCCCCTGGTCACGGCCGACAACTGGTCATCCAATGTCAACCGCGAATCCAGGAGAACACCCAAGTTGCGGACCCGATCTGAGGGGGCCAAGGTTTCGCCCCCTATAGTCAGCGATGGAATCAGCTGATTATGCCGAGGCGCTGGTAGCCACAGCCACTCGGTCTTGGACGGGTTGAGTCTAAGTCTGTTCCTCCCCATCCAGACCCTCACGGCCTCCAGGCACCGGGCCATCACGTCAAGGGCATCGTTGGGGTGGCCCGGGGTGGATATGTACAGCTGAGTGTCATCAGCGTACTGATGGAAATCCACCCCGAAGCCATGGATGATCTCCCCCAGCGGCTTCACATAAATATTGAACAGAAGTGGAGAGAGGACCGACCCCTGTGGGACCCCACAAGTTAGGGGTCTTGGGGTCGACCTCTGTCCCCCTGCCAATACAGACTGCGTACGGTCGGTGAGGAAGGAAGAGAACCACCGCATCACGG